TTCAGGACCTTGAAGAACATTGGGGATCCTGCCAGAAATGAGGGAGCTTGCCCTTCCACTAGCTTCTATTTGGGGTAGAAGGAGACTGATGTGCAGAGCAGCGTCCTCTCATCTGACTTTTCATGGGTCTCTGGGAGTAATTTCCAAAGAGTAAACTCTCTAGCTTGTCTTTCTTTGCAGATGACAGCTGCCCAAAGCCCCCTGAGATTGCAAATGGCTATGTGGAGCACCTGGTTCGCTACCAGTGTAAGAAATACTATAGACTGCGCACAGAGGGAGACGGTAAGACCTGGGCAACTGCCTCAGTACCCTGCACACAACCCCTGCTCCGACATTTCCATGAGGGGTGGTGCTGGGGTGAATGGCCAGACAGTTCATGTGCTCTCCTTGGAGCCAGGAGATTTAGATTCTAAGAAGCATTTTGTCACCAGTAGCTGTGGCCCTTTGGGCAGACTAACCTTTGTCAGCCTCAAGTTTTCTCTTTCGTTAAGGGGAGGCAATGCCATGCAGCCTACCCATCTCAGAGTCAGATTCACATCTCCAGCAGGAGATGTGGGAAAAGGAAGACTGATGGTGACAAGTCACCCTCACCTAGTGAGTCTTGCATTCCCGGCAATGCTCTAAGTGCTTTACACTTATTTGTTCACTTAGTCCTCATAATATCCCTCTGAATGGAGATTATTATCCTGACTTTGCCAATAAGGAAACTGAGGCACAGACAGGTTGAGTGTCTTGCCCAAATTCAGGCAGCCTGTAAGAGTCAGAGTCAGGATATGAACCCTGAGCCCTCCTTGTACTGCCTGGCTGTGTCCACCATGACCACAGTCTGTTCTTCTGGGCATAACTGCCGTCGAAGCACTTGGCTTCCAGCACAGCACTCCTTCCCTTCCTCCTCCTCCTCTTCTCCCTCCTTTTCCCCTTTCTATTTCCTCCCCCTCCCAACTTGTCTTTTTAATTCTGCTGCTTAAATGCCTTCTCACTCTGCACTGGGTCCAGACTTGACTGCTCTTTTGGCTCATTTCTTGCCTTTTGTTTCAGGAGTATACACCTTAAACAGTGAGAAGCAGTGGACGAATAAGGCTGTTGGAGATAAACTTCCTGAATGTGAAGCAGGTAGGTGCTGAGCACTTAATAGCCCAGGCAGGCGTCCGGGTGGGCATCCCTTGAGCGCACAAGAGCCCAGAGGAAGAATGTGGGAGAACCGTAACTGGCCAGGGAGAGAGACTCAGGCAGTTAGGTGATGACTCCCTAAGGGTCACCAAGGGTCTATGGGTCTTGTTCATCGGGGCCTGAAGGGCACTGGCTGAATCCACTGTCTACACTGCTCACAGATCAGGAGAGCCTGTGCATACAGAGAGCCTGCTAGAGAGCCCTGGGTCTAAGGAGAAGCAAGCTCCAGAGAGAACAAGTCAAGGGAAGACATTAAATCTTAATCCCTGGAAGCCTAGCAGGAGGCTGGACGTGGGCTGGGACTCCTGCTTCTGGTTGTTAGGAAGAGCTATTGCTCTCTCCTTTCCCTCTCAGAACGGGAGGCATCAGCCCAGCCTCTCCTGCTCTTCGAGGTGCAGAACTGCACCATTTACAAAATCTGAACTCCAGGCAGTGCTGCTCTGGATTCCTCTTTCTTCAGAGAGAATAAATTACGGTAGCTCCTAGCCCTTTCAATCAACTTCAAGGAAAGGGAGAAATTCATTTGTTGGGATAATTGTTTAAATATAATACAGTTCATCAGCCAGGGCTCAAAAATCTCAGTATTTCTCATTTCCTTTGTTAGAAAGGCTGGAAATAGAGCTTTCTGTAATGCAAACAATTTTTAAAAAACAATTATTTTATTATTTCTTTTTGAGATGGAGTTTCGCTGTTGTTACCCAGGCTGGAGTGCAATGGCACGATCTCGGCTCACTGCAACCTCTGCCTCCTGGGTTCAAGCAATTCTCCTGTCTCAGCCTCCCGAGTAGCTGGGACTACAGGCATGCACCACCATGCCCAGCTAATTTTTGTATTTTTAGTAGAAACAGGGTGTCACCTTGTTGACCAGGATGGTCTCGATCTCTTGACCTCGTGATCCACCTGCCTCGGCCTCCCAAAGTGCTGGGATTATAGGCGTGAGCCACCGCGCCTGGCCAAAAAAAACCCCAAAAAACTGCAACTATTGGAAATGAGATGAGCAGGTGGTAAGGGCAAAGCATTTAAACTTTCTAGTTTATGCAGCAGTGACGGCCGCCAATGGTTTCACACCTCTTTCTCAGATGGGGAGGCTCTTGCACATTTCCACTCACGAGTGTCTTGCTCTTCTTGACAGTATGTGGGAAGCCCAAGAATCCAGCAAACCCAGTGCAGCGGATCCTGGGTGGACACCTGGATGCCAAAGGCAGCTTTCCCTGGCAGGCTAAGATGGTCTCTCGCCATAATCTCACCACAGGAGCCACGCTGATCAATGAACAATGGCTGCTGACCACAGCTAAAAATCTCTTCCTGAACCATTCAGAAAATGCAACAGCAAAAGACATTGCCCCTACTTTAACACTCTATGTGGGGAAAAATCAGCTTGTAGAGATTGAGAAGGTGGTTCTACACCCTAACTACGCCCAGGTAGACATTGGGCTCATCAAACTCAAACAGAAGGTGCCTGTTAATGAGAGAGTGATGCCCATCTGCCTACCTTCAAAGGATTATGCAGAAGTAGGGCGTGTGGGTTACGTGTCTGGCTGGGGGCGAAATGCCAACTTTAAATTTACTGATCATCTGAAGTATGTCATGCTGCCTGTGGCTGACCAAGACCAATGCGTAAAGCACTATGAAGGCAGCACAGTACCTGAAAAGAAGACACCAAAGAGCCCCGTTGGGGTGCAGCCCATACTGAACGAACACACCTTCTGTGCTGGCATGTCCAAGTACCAGGAAGACACCTGCTATGGTGATGCGGGCAGTGCCTTTGCCGTTCATGACCTGGAGGAGGACACATGGTACGCGGCTGGGATCCTAAGCTTTGATAAGAGCTGTAGGGTGGCTGAGTACGGTGTGTATGTGAAGGCAACTTCCATCCAGGACTGGGTTCAGGAAACCATCGCTGAGAACTAACGCAAGCCTGGCTGGAAGCCTTTGCCTGAAAGCATGATTTCAGCCTGGAGGAGGGCAAAGTGGATGGGAGTGGACAGAATAAGACGTGGGTTGAGGCTGATAGGTGCCAGCCCTGCGTTGCTGAGTCAGTCAATAAAGAGCTTTCTTTTGACTCATTTCTGTGTTGTGTTCAGTCTTGAGAATTTATTCTCTCTTTGATGGTCCAGGGTAGCAAAAAGGTATAGAGTCTACGGGGAGTATGGCAGAAAATACCCCAAACCCACTGCGAATCCCTAAGGTGATACAAACTGTTCCGTCTTAGGGATCATGCTCACTCATTCAGTGCCCATTGGATGCCAGGTCCCAGGAAGGCAATTGTTGTCCTTGTTTTACAAACAAGGAACCAGACTCAGAGAAGGTGAGTGATTTGCTCAAGGTTATATAGCTATGACACAGTGAAGCTGAACTTTGAACCCAGGTCTGTTCGCTACAAACTCAGAGCTCTTTTCACTGCATCCTGTTGCCTCTTCAAAGGTAATAAGGAGAAAGGGCCTGGGCCTGGTGAGGAAGAGGCTAGCTCGAAATAGGATGGGAAAAAGCTTTGACACAGACAGTGCTTCAGAGTTTGTGATCTAATCTACCAGCACTCCAGAAAACAAAAGATCATGAATGGAAAGGCAGGATTTCTGGACTTGCTGGGTCCAAATCACAGCTTGGCCCACAAATTTGCTAAGTAATTTAGGCTTCCAGGCCATCAGTTCCTGGTCTCTTCCATGAAGGACTTGAGGCAGGCAATGGCTAACGTCCCTGTCAGCAATAACCTTCGGGGACTCTGTAAAGAGTGGGGAGGTAGAGTCCCTGCCTCAGTAGAAGCTGCTTTTCCTACTTGGAACAAACCCACCCCTCACCAGGAATCAAATGCAAGCTGCCTGAGCCTCCTCTCCCGATGGCAGGTCATGCTATGAAGGGTCTCCCAGAAGAAAGGTTCTGAACTCTGATAAACAGAAACTGTTCTAAGAGAACTTTCTCTTGCTATAAGCTTTCAATAACCCGACCAATCACCAAGGCACCTTCTTTTCATGCCAAAATATGGGCCCTTCTTTTCAGGGTATAAAATGGCACTGATGTCACTCTCTCTCAGCAGGGTCTGGCCATCTCTGTAAAGCTCTCCTCACAGGCACCCTGCAGATTCATCAGTAAACTTTAACAGGTTAGTGCTAGTAGGCCAATATGACTTATATTCTAGAAACTGTGAAAGAGATAATAGCCAGAAACTGAAAAATAACAAACTCTTAAAAAAAAAATGCCTCTCAGAAACACAGTAACAGACACCTTTTCCTCTGGTAGTTCTCTTCAGCACCAAGTCTCCTGTAACAAGAAGCACCCCTTTGTTAAAGAGCTGTCTGACTGTATTAAGCGGCTTCTGGCAGAACAGTAAGAGAAAAGCTCGGGTGTTCTCTGCCTCCCTCCTCAGCACCGCTTTGTGTCCTCAGCCTATGGGCTTTAGCCACACCAAACTCCTCACTGCTCTCTGACACCAGGCTGTCTCCAGCCCCCGGGCTTTATTTCCTCGGGGGCCCTCTGCTGAAATTCCCTTCCCCTTCCTGTATGAGCACCTCCTACTCTCCCTTCCAGATAGATGCAGGCACCACCTCCTCTCAGGACCTTTACTGCCCTCCAGGAGCCATCTGTACTCACGTAGCTTTCAGCATAGGATGGGGCATACCGCAGGCACTTAATACTTGTGGAATGGAAAGCAACTAAGATAGGATCAAAAATACAAATCAGGACTTGAGAGAAAGATGACTGAAAGCCCTCAGGGGAAGAAGACCTCCGAATTTTGCACATGCAGGTTCTGAGTTTTGGCTGGCCGACTGAGCACTTACTGTATCTCAAATACTGTGTGATCTGGGCTGAAGAAGAGAAAACCCGACTAACAGTGACGTAGGCAAAAAAATTTTATTCTTTCACAGAAGTGTGGAGGGAGGCAGGTCCAGAGTTCACGCAGTAGCTCAATAATATCAGGGATCGGGGCTCTTTTTGTTCTTAGCATATCGATGTTTACCTGACGCTGGGCACCTCGTGGGCCTAGGATGGCTGTTGTAGCTCCATGCATCAGGATTAAACCAGTGGCAGGAAGCATAGGATGGGAGAGGACATAGGTGGTGGGCTCCTTCTCTCTTTTTGTGTCTTATTCCTGGAGGGACTCCCTCCTTTCATCAGCAGGGACACAAGCAGTGCCGAGCAGCCTTCCCCCACTGCCTCAGAAGCTAGAAACAAGCTCATGGCACTCCTCTCTGCAGAAAGGCGTGGAATGGAGCCCCTGGTAAATGTGGCTGGACTTGCAGTGACAGTGCTGCCCTGAATGGGACTGGGCTTCTGTTGGTGAGGAGGTCAGCGGCTGCTAAGCAGATTACGAGCTGCCTCGCCTGTGGTCCTCCAGCTCTGCGCCCACCCTCTCCTTCTAATGAGTCAGTTTCAATAACCACCATGAGGTTTTGAGAGGTGTGGTAACTTGCCCATGGTTGTGCTAGGTGCCCCTGGAAGAGCGAGAATTCTCAGTTATTTAAACAGGCAAATCCCATACAGGTGACACTTCATTCTAACACTTCTGACATCTCTTTTAGTTTAGAGCCCTAGTAATAAAATTTTCTGCCTCAGGAAGAGGCAGCAGTTTTTGGGTAAAATCTGCTCCTGCTAAGGGTGGCTAATTCATTGTTTTACATCAGCAGAGTGGTGGAGGGTGAAAGTTCCAATTCTGTTTTCATATACAATTTTATAACAAAAACATAATTAAAGGAGCCAACCAGGACAACATTTAAAAGCCAGAGCCAAAAAGGCTCCAAAATAAAACAAACTTGTCTGCTCCATTAATTATCTGAAGAGAAACTACAGCAGTAAGAACTGGAGATGGGAAGCATGAGAGATGTATGAGCGGAGGAACGGGTGAAGGGGTGCGTGTCTGTGTGAGCGCGTGCGTGCGTGTGGGTGTGTGTGCGCGTGTGTGTTGTGTGCACGCACGCACCTATCTAGGGTAGAAAATAAGTATTTTTGCTTCCATGGAAATTGACTTTGCAGTTCACTTGTGTATCAAATGAAGATGGTTCAATCAAACTGTACTGGCCAATGTCTGGAAGGATTCTGTATTAAAGGGATAAAGAATAACATTATGAAGAGAAGTGAAAAAATCACCGTGGTAGAAAATGAACACCATTGACTTGGCTGCTCTGAGGTTCGCAGGGTGTAGACAGGCATCCCAGGTCATCAGAGAACCAGTGGGGTCTTCACTCAGGGGCCAAGTTTTCTACAGACAAGTCAAACCTCTTCTCCTCTGGGACACTGGGCATGTTTCCAAAGGACTCCAGAAAAACAGCACGGCCGGATTCAGGTATCATGTCAAGATGTGCCTTTTTCTTCATCTCTGACAGCGGTTACTGTGCTAAATGTCTTGATAGAGGAGGTCATATTTGGGAATATTCTTGGGATCAATAGGACTCTGGACAATAAGCTTCCCCCTCATTGCTCCTCGATAGATTACTTCAATCAAATCTATGAAGTCTTGTTTGGTTTTGAAACTTCCCACAAACTTAGTGTGATCTGGAGAGCTAGACAGCATAGAAGAGAAACAACTACTCTAAGAACTCTGAATAATCACTTGTTAAAGACTTTCAGGATAAACAAAATGAACAATAGCTTTATTTTCTTCTTGTCAGTGAGACTTCAGACAGAAAGCCCAACATTAATTTTGTAATCATTTTTTTCCATTTGGTAAATGACTAAACCCAGTGCAGTGGGCCACTAGAATGAAAGCTCTGTCATGCGAAAAGATTCAGCTTCAAATCTATTTTAATCCCCAAATCTGCTTTTATCACTTCTCACATCATAAGCAGAATTCACCAAGTGCTGGAGTGCACATTGTTTCTTGGTTTGCTGCCGTTGCTTTTGCCTGGGCACTGTGCAAAGCCCATTCACTAGTCACGGTCTTTAAGATCTAGTCACTTACACTTTTGAGTTGTAGGTATTAAAAACACTGTTTTTTTAGAAAGGTATCTCAAACACCAGGTTATGTTACTGTAAAAATTTTAAAGAAAGAAATAAAATCACTGATGAGGCCAGAGGACGTTTTTCAGTGTATATCCGTCCTATCTTTTGTGTGTGTGTGTGTGTGTGTGTGTGTGTGTATGTGCTTATGTACATTTCTTTTTTCCCAACATTGGGAATTATGTCATACAAATTATTTGGTAATGTGCTTTTTTCCAGCTAACATGTATTTCTTTCAGTCATTAAATATGCATCTACAATATCATATTAAAATCCTAGAAGTGTAATAACTGGTTTAAATAGTTTAAACACTTTTAAGTGTTTGATGCATAATGTTGAACTGGCCCTATTAAAAGGCTGTGCCAAATTAATACTTACAGCAAATGTGTTCTGGTAGAATAAACAGCTTTAAAACACTGTTGCTGTTTTTTTTTTTGAGATGGAGTCTTGCTCCATCACCCAGGCTGGAGTATAGTGATGTGATCTCTGCTTACTGCAACCTCTACCTTCCAGGCTCAAGTGATTCTCCTGCCTCAGCTTCTTGAGTAGCTGGGATTACAGGCTCCCACTATCATACCCAGCTAATTTTTGTATTTTTAGTAGAGATGAGGTTTCGCCATGTTGGCCAGGCTGGTTTTGAACTCCTGACCTCAAATGATTCACCTGCCTCAGCCTCTGAAAGTGCTAGGATTACAGACTTGATCCACTGTGCCCAGTGTAAGACACTTTAAAACAGATAATATTCTACATACTTTCAAATAAAGACAAAAAGGTACACAGATCAAGACAAGTGAACTCCTCAACCACAGTAAGAAATGGTCAGAATCATGGATGCATCCAACCACAAATATGAAGTATTAAACGGTAATTGGATAGAGCGGAAGGCATTAAAGAAGACTTCATGTTACTTATTCTTGACAGGCTTTGCTGAAGAATGATTTCAAATTCTCTGAGTGGTGAAAAGCAGGAAACTTTGTAAGAAAGAAGCACATTTTGGTCTGCTGGAAGGAATGCGTCTGTTCTAAGTGCCACTTACCAGTCCAAAAGCTTAAGAACAACTACGTATTTTGTTTCAAATGAAATTCCTGGGAAAATGTTAAGAGTTCTTTCTTTAGTTAATATAGCTATTTTATATTTTATAGACTGAAGGATGGTTAGTGCTTTGCAAACTATTATTTCTTCACACTTAGGTTGGAAATTAAAATTCGACAAACCGTGTGTATGCATTATTTTTAAAATGAAAAACATAAAATTTGACGATCATACCTGAAACACTCAGTTTGTAGCAAGGTTTTGCATAAAAACTTAGAGCATGCATTCATTGAGGCAACAGTACTGATATATGACTCACAGAGCCAACATCACATGCAAACAGGCAGCTACTGAAACCGCTTACCAAAGGAAACTTCCAAGGCTGCAATACCTTCATATCAATGACACTTACCCATAATCCACTTTCATATGCTGCCCATTGAAGAAAAAGACAGTAGATGGAATATAACTGATGTCAAAATACTGTGTATAAACTGGAGTTTGGTCCACATCTACCAGGTATATAGCAGCCATTTTACTTAAGTCAGAAGAGGTCTTAGAAAGCTGCAAATAAAGAGAGAGAGACAAAGGTTACAATATGAGAGGCAGCTAACGTTTCTTCTGTGAAACTTGTGACTACAACAGAGTATTCTGTTCAAAAAAACTCCTGGGCCAACAAAGCAGCTCATGTTGCTCCCCCATTAGACACGATGTAACCTCATCCTCCAGAGTCTCAGTCATTGCAGTCTGGGTTAGGAGGGGACCTTGGGGAAAACTGTGTGAATCTATTTCTTCCTTTGTCTTATTTGAGTGTTTTATAAAAGTAATCCATGCTCATTCGACTTAGAAATATGTAATATGGATACTGAAACTCCCTAAACTCTCCTTCCTCCCAATCCTCCCAGAAACGATAATCATGATCATTAGTGGCAGAGAACTGGGTGACATTACTATGTGGTAACTGTTCTAAGTGCTTAACATTTGTTAACTCATTTAATCCTTACAACATTCTTATGAGGTATGTGCTATTAGAGTCCTCATTTTATAGATAAGGAAACAGCTGCACAGGGAGGGAAAATAATTTGCCTCAGGTCACACAGCTCCTGAGCAGTAGGGCTGGGATTTGAACTTCGGTAGCATGGCTTCAGAGTCTACACTACTGACCTCTGTGGTATTTCCTCCTCCCTACAGCTGACGGTGGAATCCTCTGGTCCTTTTCTCCCCAGGCTAACACATCAGACCCTCACTGTAACCACAGAAAAGAGGATTCATATGCTCAGCCATTACACGGGATGGGAGCAGTGGAAATGGCAGGAAGAGGTCTTAATTCTGGGTTAAGTCTCTATGCAATGAACAGACAAGAATACTCCCATGCTGTCCCATCTTCCTCCTCCTTTCTACTCAGAATGTGAAGACGTGCTGTGAACCAGAGATTATCATCAGGTACATACTGGAGGCAGCACACTAGAAAAGAGTATTTGCAGCTACAGAAAATTGAGTTCCAATCCTGGCTCTGGAATTTAATGGATCAGTGCCTGTGAAAAGTTACTTGACTGTTCTGGCATTTTTTTCTCCCACTGGAAAATGGGGCTACTAGGATCCTACTGTTGCGAGCACTGAAAAGCTAATGTTCACAGATGATTGTTAATAGTTTTCTGCTCTTCCATCACCTTGCTGGTGAAACAGCACTGACAGCTTCTAGTGAGTAAGGACATCCAAGGCAGATACAGCACACAAAGATGTGGGGGTTCAGCTCAGGGCAGGCACAGGATCAGCTCTTAGTGAACTAACAGATGAACAGCTGACTACTCCCTTTCATACCCTATGCAGATGCTGAAGTGAGAATATGTAGATTATTAATAAAAACCACTTACGTTAGATATTCACTTACAACATCATCTAGCTGCAGACAGACAGGATCTTCATCTCTCCCGAACCTGAGAACCAACACCTTCTCAGCAGTACTTTTTATCGCCTGGTCTACTTCCTTTTTGCTAGTCAGCTTGGGCAGTAGGAAGCTCATCTTGAAATAACCCAAATGTGACTCCTCACTCTCAGTCCTGAAATAAAGGCGCAATGTTTAAAGACAGTTTAGAGTAAGTACATGAGCCCTTGTTAAAAAAAAAAAAAAAAAAAGTAATTCACAGAGTAGGTAATGTATTCACACGGCATAAGAAGAAACATCATAGAAAGGTAATACTGTGGAGTCTCCTGCTCCTTGGGCCCCATTTTCATTGATCCCTCCCCCAGCCTGGATAACTGCTTTCATTAGTTTCTCATGTATCTTTCAGAGTTTTGTTATGCATTCACAAAAAAATGCAATTATGTGTTTCTATATATATATTTTTCTCTCTCTCTCCCAAAGATAGAGCCTATTGTATCAGTTAGTGTTCCAGCAGGAAAGTGATGACACTCTCAAATTTGGTAATTTGAAGGCATTTTAACTAAGGCTGGTGTAGAAAAACCACAAGGTAAAGTGCAGTACTTTGGGGCTTGTAACAGCAGGATGCTGTACCCACCCCTAGGCCTTGGGAGGAAGGAGCCATGGAAGGAAGCAGTGATAAGAATTGTGTGGCAGAGAGATGAGCAGAGAGGACGGTGTATAGGAGGGCGGCCTGCGGTTAAGGGTTACAGCCACTCTCCTCCCTCCTACCCCTGCTCGTGCTCCCACAGGCTGACTCCACCTGGAACCAGAGGGCAGGGGCCTGCTAAGACAGGCAAGCTTCCCAGTCCCAGAGCATTCTAGAGGAGGATTAAGAATGGTTGTGGAAGGACAGATGGCAGGTGTTCTGGGTACACACACTTAGTCTACTCTTCTGTACTTTTCATTATTTCAAACCTAACCGATGAGGATTACTCCATATCTCTATATAGAGAGCATCCATATTCTTTGCCATGGCGGCATATTATTTCTTTCATGTGTTACACTTTTTAAACAGTCCTTTATTGTGGACATTATATTATTACAAGTCCTGACTTAGAGATTCTTGGTGCACAACTTACTAGGTGCACCTCATTACACGGCAAATAGATCAATTAAGAGTGCATGTGAAAACCACAATTCCATAAACAAATCATAAAATACTGAGGTGGAAGGGCCAAATCCAGCCCTGTCATTTTACAAACTGGCTTGCTTACAGTTGCACTTCCTGCTACAACATCAAGGATCAGAATGCAGGCCACCAAATTTCTAGTCCAGGGGTCCTTCTACTACAATGAGCTATTTTCATGATTGGAAGAAATTTCATTTTTGAGAAACTCTTTGACCACGAAGCTTAATTCTGTGGACATCAATAAGAGACTCCGTTGAGATACTCGGTATTTTGAATTCAGTCCCAAATATGAAAAGGGAGGATTTTTCTATATTTTTTTTGTCACAAGTCACATTTTAAGGTATGAATTAAGCCAGGTGTGGTGGCTCATGTCTGTAATTCCGGCACTTTAGGAGGCCAAGGTGGGTGGATCACCTGAGGCCAGGAGTTCAAGACCAACCTGGCCAATGTGGTGAAACCCCATCTCTACTAAAAACACAAAAAATTAGCCAGCGTGGTGGCAGGAGCCTGTAATCCAAGCTACTCAGGAGGCTGAGGGAGAATTGTTTGAAGCCTGAAGGCAGAAGTTGGGATCACTCCATTGTACTCCAGCCTAGGCAATAAGAGCAAAACTCCCTCTCCACACACACACACACAAAGAATTAATAATAATTCACACAGGAGATAATGTTGTTCCAGCTATAGGTCATACTCTAAATAGGGACACTAATGGCCCAAAGGGACATCATCAAATGTGAGCAGCAGAACAAATTACCAATGAAAGAGAAGGTCAAAGAGAAGATGGATCTGTCCCACTAGAATCCAAACAAACAGCAACTCCTCTGCGTTACTGATCAAAAGGAGAAGGTAAGGGGAGAACAAAGTTGTCAGTGGCGAGGCCAGGGGTGGAACTGGACAAATGTTGGAAGGAGGAGAGGAAATGAAAATGTCCATAGCAAACGATATCCACAGAGAATTCCCAAAAGAAGAGGTACAAATGGACAGTAAATAAATTTGGTTAAGCTTTACTAATAAGCAAAGAAAAGCAAATTAAAAGATACATTTAAAAATTCACTGAATTGGCAAAAATTAAACAAGATAGTGGTACACAATAATGGCAAGAGTATGACCGTAGAGGCAGGTACAGGAAGTCCCTGCTGGAATGTAGACATAAAAAACGTTGTGGATAGAAAGCTGACATACTCTTTGACCAATAATTCCCGTTTTTTGAGAAGGGGTCTCGCTATGTTGCCCAGGCTGGTCTCAACCTCCTGGGCTTAAGCAATCCTCCCACCTTAGCCTCCCGAGTAGCTGTAACCTCAGGCAGCGCCACTACTGCAGAAACACCAAAAAAAAAAAAAAAAAAAAAAAAGAGGAAGAAACATAAACTTTGAACTCACTTTCGTACAGAACCTAACTGCAATGTATTCCAGAAAAACAACTGGAAATAAACATCCCCAAACGCCATCAGTGGTCATCTCTGCGTGTGAAGGTATGGGTGATTCTTATTTACAGCGGGGCGCGCGTCTTTATTTTCCAAACTATGCCATATACATATTTTAAGTCACCTGTATTGCGCTGCTGCTAGCCCACAGCGCTAGGAACCGCGGCACTTACCAGACTCGTCCACACCGCCTCGCGACACTTACCTGACTTGTCCACACAGCCTCCCTCCTTTCCCCTTCGCGGCTGTCAATAACTCCTTCTCGAAAGATCCAGGACGCGGGTTACTTCCTTCATTTGCTCCAAGCGGGACCCGACCCTAAGGCAAAACCACCCTCGGGCTGTTGCCTAGCAACCCCCGTGGCCTCGGGGGCTAAAAGGACGCCTAATAGGAAAATGCGCAAGCGCAGAAAGAAAACTCTCCGGTCGGCCTGGCTCAATAGTCCAATAAGCAGAAGAGCCCACTATGCCCGGCTCTGACCGGAAGTCTTACGTCAGTTCTGCCCGTATTGAAAATGGTCGACTTTTCCCTCCTTTTCCTGCCGCCAGACCAGAGGTGGGATGTAGTCTCTTAGACTAAGAGTGATTGGTCACAAGGAGACTCGGAAGTGCCTCTGATCAGAGCCCCAGAGGAAGGCTCCGTTCCGTTCCACACTTGGATCCAGGAATCGGCATGTTCCAGGCTGCTCTCTATGGTACCTTTGGGCGGATAGAGGGGGCCGCGCAAGGTATTAAGGGACAATAATGGCCGCATTCAAGGTGTGGATTTTGGCTCCTTGAGGCTGTCTAAGCGAGGGGTGGCAGCGCCGGCGCCCCAGAATCTGGTACTGAAGGGTCCCAAGAGTCGCGCTTGGTGAGGTGAGAGTCCCTTCTTCCTTGCTGACCGTCCCTTCGCCAATCATGGCGGCTCCGGGCGGCGGATATTGGTTCCCTGCTCAGGTTGGGTCCCCGGTTTGGAGAGTTCCTCTGTCGTCCCTGTTATCCACCTTGCCTTACTCTCACCTCAGGGATGTTGCGTCCGTCCTGCCCGCCTTGGCCTTTCTCCTTGTTCTGGTCAGATCCTGCTGCCTGAAGCGGCCTCGCTGAGATCCAGAGATGCTGCCTGGAGCGGCCCTGCTCCCTCTCTCAGGCCTCCGCCTTAGCCCACCCCAGACTGTCACCTTGTGTCTTTCTCTGCTCTCTCACAGTGTTGTTTATACCAGGCAATCTGGGGGGCGATCTGTTCTACTAGAATATCAGCTCCAGGTGGGCGGGGATTTTTGTTTTGTTCTGTTCTCTGTTGCTACTGCCGAGAACTACATTTGGCTCAGGGAGGTCCTTAGTGAATAATTGTCGAATGAAGGAATCCAGGTTCTTTCCTCCCTGGCTTCCTCGTATCCCTTGTAGTTTTTTTGCCATTCATCCTTCTCCTTTGCTTTGATAACTTGTTGGAATGAGAGGAATTATCCAGGCACCCAGAACTAGAATATGTTGATGTGTGGGAGATGTTTAGTGAGAGGTAAAGAGGAATTTGTTTCAAGCGGAGTGCTGGAAGGCTTGTAGCCACTTAAATACTTCTCAGTAACACTTTTTCCTAATCTAGTATTTCTCATAAATATTTTTGGTGAACATGGTTTGTTATTAAACTGATTTTGGCTGCTGTGAGTAAATTGTTTTCTGTAAAATGCAGCTAGGCCAAGAAAAGCCACTAACATATGAGAACATGGATGGTAGACTTATGCCCCATCTCTATGCTGCTGTACCTGATGTTTAAAGAGAGGGAGAGGTAGAACTCATGTAAAAAATTGGCGAGGGACCAATAGTATATAGGAGGATAGCAAATAATATATGTAATGGAGCAGTTACATTTATGTAAGTCTTATGGTTATATAAAGAACTACTCTTCACGGTTTCACATTCACTTTTTGTTTGATTCTCACAATAGCTTCATGGATTAGGCAAAGTAAAAATTATTTCCATTTAATAGATATGAAATTATGGCTAACCAAAGGATTAAGTTATTTGCTTATCATACAGGTGGAAAGTGTCAAGAGCTTGGTTTCTAATTGAGGTTTCTGACTCAAACTTAGTGGTGTTTCCCCTACACCCCTGTGACAGATGACATCAGGCTCTAGAAAGTATCCCTTAGTGAGACCTTTTATTGCCTCTTGGATCCTTGGGGTTGGGGAGGAATATATGGGGTGTGTGTGTGTGTGTGTATCTGCTTGGGTGTCTGTTGGGGGTGGAAATAGGATCTTTGGAGATTGTCAGTGACTCGATGGAAAGGTCTTGGAGAGAGGCAGCCTGGTCTTAGGGGGAGATGAGGACGGTTAATCACCTAAATTTAACCATAACCGTATTTATTCTGGGATATAGTAGAGCTGAGCCTTCTCCAGTAGCAAATGGTTTGCCTTCTTTCCAGAGAAATCCCATATCCTGTGATGGGGGACACCAGTGAGGATGCCTCTATCCATCGATTGGAAGGCACTGATCTGGACTCTCAGGTTGGCGGTCTAATTTGCAAGACCAAAAGTGCGGCCAGCGAGCAGCATGTCTTCAAGGCCCCTGCTCCTCGCCCTTCATTACTAGGACTGGACTTGCTGGCTTCCCTGAAACGGAGGGAGCGAGAGGAGAAGGACGATGGGGAGGACAAGAAGAAGTCCAAAATCTCTTCCTACAAGGACTGGGAAGAGAGCAAGGATGACCAGAAGGATGCTGAGGAAGAGGGTGGTGCCCAGGCTGGCCGAAATATCCGGAAAGACAGGTAAAGGCCTTACGATGGTTTAGCCTACAGAGGGAAGTGAGTGGAGCCTGGAAAATAACATCTCATGTTTATCTCTTAGTTTTCCTGTTAGACATTTAGAGCTTTATGATTTTATGATAATTATGTAATATTGAGGGTAGGTAGGAATTTGTGGGGCAAAACAAATGTGGCTAAAGAGAAGACGGTAGAGGTTAGAGATGCCTTGGATTATTGCCATGTGCAAGCCTGCTGTACCAGGGAGAGAAAGTGGAAAAGGACAGATCACTTGTTTTTCGGGCAGAGTTTTTCTCCTATGGAGGGGCTTTACCTCTTGCCCTCCCTGTTTCAGACATTATCGATCTGCTCGGGTAGAGACTCCATCCCATCCTGGTGGTGTGAGCGAAGAGTTTTGGGAACGCAGTCGGCAGAGAGAGCGGGAGCGGCGGGAACATGGTGTCTATGCCTCCTCCAAAGAAGAAAAGGATTGGAAGAAGGAGAAATCGCGGGATCGAGACTATGACCGCAAGAGGGACCGAGGTAAACTTCAGCATAGTTCCTATTGTCTGTTAGCATTTGAATAAACATGGCACCCTTTTTCCTGTTGTAGGAGTTTTTACAACACCCCTAAGTTAGGGAGTCCTATTTGCATGATGTACGCCTGAATGGTTTTGACCCTGTTGGGATTGGGAATACTAGTTTCAGAAAAGAGCTGTCGCCTGTAACATAGCTGCTCTCCTTGAGTGTGTGGCCTTCGATTTATTATGAAAATTGATGACAGGCTCGTCCGAGTGCAGTGGTGTTTACAACTAATTGATCACAACCAGTTACAGATTTCTTTGTTCCTTCTCCACTCCCACTGCTTCACTTGACTAGCCTTAAAATAAAAAATAAATAAATAAATAAAAAATAAAATTGATGATAAAGGAGATAAGAAATATATATAAGAGACCGGAGTTTATAATAGTATGGGTTATAGAGAAAGGACAGTGCTAGGGAACAAAGCTAGACATAAAATCCAGTGCTCTCCGTGCTCAGTATTAAGTTTTATAGCTGATAGAATTGTAACTGTTAAAAAAGTGATTCACTGTAAACTTTTACTATTATTTTTGAATTCTTGCTGAAAAATAACTGTTACTGCGCGTTTGAAACTTTCTAGCCAGTAACTTTTTTCCCCTTGGGAGAATGGGCATAGTTGAGTTTCAGGAGCCTACAGATCACATTTGAGCAGTGTACGTTGCACCTGTGAGTGAGTGGGCAGCCTGTCCTTTCTTTAGGGTGAAGATGGCTATACCTTAGGGTGGGACACACGTTTCTAAGCTTTGTGTGACTCTTCTTAGATGAGCGGGATAGAAGTAGGCACAGCAGCAGATCGGAGCGAGATGGAGGGTCAGAGCGTAGCAGCAGAAGAAATGAACCTGAGAGCCCACGACATCGACCTAAAGGTAGACTGGCTGTTTTGTTGGTTTGTGAGGATTCAGGTGTATAAAAGGCAGAATGAGTGACTCTCGTCTTCAGTGAGATGGCCGAGGCACTGAATCAGAATTCCTGATTCTACCATGAACATCTTGGGATGGTTGGTTCTGAGTCAGGTGGGCACAGCTCTGCACTTCTCCATTGGGCTGGATATGCTTACTGTGAGAGGCTGGTTTGCTGAATGGCCAGTTTTCCAAATGGCCCGAAAGAATAGGGAGCTAGAGGTAGAAGAAGTGTTCATTAAAAAGAACTGTTTATATCCGGGGGGGGGGGGGTGTGTGTGTTTATAGAGATAAAGTAAATATCCCTTAAAATGTTGTCATAAACACAGAATGAAAACTGGACCATTGGCCAGGTGCGGTGGCTCACACCTATAATCCCAGCATTTTGGGAGGTTGAAGTGGGCAGATCACTTGAAGTCAGGAGTTCAAGACCTGCCTGGCCAACATGGTGCAACCCTGTCTCTACTAAAATACAAAAATTAGCCTGGTGTGATGGTGGGCACCTATAATTTCAGCTTCTTGGGAGGCTGAGGCAGGAGAGTCACTTGAACCCAGGAGGCGGAGGTTGCAGTAAGCCAAGATCACACTACTGTACTCTAGCCTGGGTGATAGAACAAGACCTCTCAATAAAAAAAAAAAAAAAAAAAATCCTGGACCATTAAAAATTGAGGTATCTTTAAAAACTGTCAAAATCAATCTTATCCATTATAGATCCGTGCAAGGTTTAGAAATAGTAAAAGGAGTAAATTTGGGTAATTGACTTTTGGTAACTGGTTCTAGAGCCATGTTGTGGTTAAGTGAGATGTTGCCTGTGGATATGTCTTTTGTGGCCCCAGATGCAGCCACCCCTTCAAGGTCTACCTGGGAGGAAGAGGACAGTGGTTATGGCTCCTCAAGGCGCTCGCAGTGGGAATCCCCCTCGCCAACACCTTCCTATCGGGATTCTGAGCGGAGCCATCGGCCGTCCACTCGGGATCGAGACAGGTGATGTTCCGGGCAGAGCAGCCTAGTTTTGCTAGGTGGGTGGTAAGGCGCCTTGGTAGGGAGAGCAGATGGCGGTCAGAGGGACATGCTTAGCTCAGTGACGGTTTTCTGATACTGGTACTGCTGTTCCCAGGTCTGTGAGGGGCAAGTACTCGGATGACACACCT